TTAGAAGCTAGTGTACTGAGTGGCTGTAAGGAGGAGACTGAGATGTTTGACGCTGAGATACTGTGCTGCCCATTTCTGTGACCCAAGTTCATGTACAGCATACAATACTGACTTGTCGGAGAGCCCGTTGTAACTCCGAGTTGTTGGTAAACGAGTACATTGGTAAGTGAGGAGAGGCTGTATTTATGCAGAATTTTTATTCACACCAAACAATAGAAGATTAACTGTTATGCAATATTGTAATAATTGTGCAAATAATATCAGTACGTTCACGAATGCATATTAGACCCATCAGTTGATGTGCATTGGATGCATGATGTGATTTGTTTACTCTTGAACATTAGCAAAAATCAAACATTTCTGATACTTTGAGCTCAATTTCAAGTTATTTTCAGTCCAAAAATCAAAATCATTCTATTTCTGTAATATATCTTTCAATCTATCAAATAAGACCAAGAAACCATGAATACAACCATAAAAACTGTATGAAAATATGCCCCAAAGTTGCTGCTTTAAACCAAAAACACGGTCGCAGTTTTTTATTTGTCACTGTGTATTGCATGCTGCAGGATTTTTTTATATGGTGTACACTTACCACATAGAGCTATTCTCTCATATCTAGTGCCAAATTTACTGCTCATAGCTTATCTGAGTGAGCTGAGCTCATTACATAGAACAATGGCATGGACCCTGAAAGGGGTAATGCAGCCTTCCAACATAAATAAGTTCCCCACCCCTGGGTTAAACCTACATGATGTTCTTTTTATGTGCCCATAAAATGTGTGAGCCATCAAGATTATTGTAAAAAAAAATTCTATATTATGTACATAAAAATCTAACCAGAAACTTTGTTAAATAAATTTACCTAGGTAAGGCATGGTAGAAGGTGGTGTACAATGCAGTTTACCATTTAAACTTTCTACAGAAAATGGGTCAGCTCAGATTTTTTATTTCAGAAAGATACAATGTTTGTATAGAGGTGGGTGACATTTAAGTGTGCATGCAGAAAGCCCCTTAGTATGCAGAGAACATAAGAACATAAGAAAGGAGGAACACTGCAGCAGGCCTGTTGGCCCATACTAGGCAGGTCCTTTACAATTCATCCCACTAACAACATTTGACCAACCCAATTTTCAATGCCACCCAAGAAACAAGCTCCGATGTGCAAGTCCCTCTCAAATCCAACCTTTCCCACTCATGTACTTATTATTATTATTTTATTATCACACCGGCCGATTCCCACCAAGGCAGGGTGGCCCGAAAAAGAAAAACTTTCACCATCATTCACTCCATCACTGTCTTGCCAGAAGGGTGCTTTACACTACAGTTTTTAAACTGCAACATTAACACCCCTCCTTCAGAGTGCAGGCACTGTACTTCCCATCTCCAGGACTCAAGTCCGGCCTGCCGGTTTCCCTGAATCCCTTCATAAATGTTACTTTGCTCACACTCCAACAGCACGTCAAGTATTAAAAACCATTTGTCTCCATTCACTCCTATCAAACACGCTCACGCATGCCTGCTGGAAGTCCAAGCCCCTCGCACACAAAACCTCCTTTACCCCCTCCCTCCAACCCTTCCTAGGCCGACCCCTACCCCGCCTTCCTTCCACTACAGACTGATACACTCTTGAAGTCATTCTGTTTCGCTCCATTCTCTCTACATGTCCGAACCACCTCAACAACCCTTCCTCAGCCCTCTGGACAACAGTTTTGGTAATCCCGCACCTCCTCCTAACTTCCAAACTACGAATTCTCTGCATTATATTCACACCACACATTGCCCTCAGACATGACATCTCCACTGCCTCCAGCCTTCTCCTCGCTGCAACATTCATCACCCACGCTTCACACCCATATAAGAGCGTTGGTAAAACTATACTCTCATACATTCCCCTCTTTGCCTCCAAGGACAAAGTTCTTTGTCTCCACAGACTCCTAAGTGCACCACTCACTCTTTTTTTCCCTCATCAATTCTATGATTCACCTCATCTTTCATAGACCCATCTGCTGACACGTCCACTCCCAAATATCTGAATACGTTCACCTCCTCCATACTCTCTCCCTCCAATCTGATATTCAATCTTTCATCACCTAATCTTTTTGTTATCCTCATAACCTTACTCTTTCCTGTATTCACCTTTAATTTTCTTCTTTTGCACACCCTACCAAATTCATCCACCAATCTCTGCAACTTCTCTTCAGAATCTCCCAAGAGCACAGTGTCATCAGCAAAGAGCAGCTGTGACAACTCCCACTTTGTGTGTGATTCTTTATCTTTTAACTCCACGCCTCTTGCCAAGACCCTCGCATTTACTTCTCTTACAACCCCATCTATAAATATATCCAACCTATCCAACCTATCCAACCTTATCCAACCTAAATTTGAAACTACCCAAAGTCCCAGCCTCAATAACCCAACTAGGTAGACTGTTCCACTCATCAACTACCCTATTTCCAAACCAATACTTTCCTATGTCCTTTCTAAATCTAAACTTATCTAATTTAAATCCATTACTGCGGGTTCTCTCTTGGAGAGATATCCTCAAGACCTTGTTAATATCCCCTTTATTAATACCTATCTTCCACTTGTACACTTTGATCAGGTCTCCCCTCATTCTTCGTCTAACAAGTGAATGTAACTTAAGAGTCTTCAATCTTTCTTCATAAGGAAGATTTCTAATGCTATGTATTAATTTAGTCATCCTACGCTGAATGTTTTCTAACGAATTTATGTCCATTCTGTAATATGGAGACCAGAATTGAGCTGCATAATCTAGGTGAGGCCTTACTAATATATGTATAAAGCTGCAGTATGACCTCTGGACTTCTGTTGCTTACACTTCTTGATATAAATCCCAGTAAACTATTTGCCTTATTACGTACGCTTAGGCATTGCTGTCTTGGTTTAAGGTTGCTGCTTACCATAACCCCCAAGTCCCTTTCGCAATCTGTATGGCTAAGTTCTACATTATTTAACTTATAAGTGCTAGGGTTATGGACACTCCCGAGCTTCAGAACCTTGCTTTATCTACATTGAACTGCATCTGCCACTTTTCTGACCAAGAGTAGAGTTTGTCTAAATCCTCCTGAAGTTCCCTAACATCTACGTTTGAATCAATTATCCTACCTATCTTCGTGTCATCGGCGAATTTGCTCATATCACTAGTAATTCCTTCATCAAGATCATTGATATATATTATAAACAACAACGGGCCCAAGACTGATCCCTGTGGAACCCCACTTGTTACTGATCCCCACTCGGATTTAACCCCATTTATGGACACTCTCTGCTTCCTGTCTGTGAGCCATGATTCGATCCACGAGAGCACCCTTCCCCCAATGCCATGAGCTGCTACTTTCTTCAGCAGTCTTTGGTGCGGAACTCTATCAAATGCCTTACTAAAATCTAAGTAAACAATATCAAGTTCTTTATCGTGGTCAACAGCCTCAAAAGCTTTACTGAAGAAAGTTAATAAATTAGTTAGACAAGACCGGCCTCTTGTGAATCCATGCTGAGTATCATTAATCAAGCTATGCTTATCGAGATGGCTTCTTATAATCTCAGCTATAATTGACTCTAGTAATTTGCCTACAATTGAGGTCAGGCTTATTGGGCGGTAATTTGACGGTAACGACTTGTAACGACTTAAAACTATCTTAAGACTAATAAGGCAATAATTAATTGATTGTTTGGTGACTATTATAACTACACTCCAGTTATTCATACCTTTTCTAAACAATTTTCTTGTTTAGAAGAGTCCGAACAGTAACATTTTTTTTTTTTGAACTCTACCTTAAATTCCCTTGCTGCTTCCTGTTTATTGTTACAGAAGTCTGGAGGTGGATAACATGACCTTACTGTTCCACAAACATGCAGGAAAATTTTCTGTGCCTGTACGATAGCTAACCACTTCCAAACAAGAGACAGACATACATTACAAAAAAGCGAATTTTGAACTGGTACTGGATGTGCAATAGGTATACAAACAATAGGTATACAAACAGGTAAACAAATTTATATTCCATGAAGATACATTCATGTTCAGAGAGATTGGTTTACAATGTTTGTATCATAAATGGAAAAGCCCATAGTTATGCAAAGCATTTTTGACAATAACACAAAATATCACTGCTACTTTTAGCTATAAAATTTCTCATGGACTGCTTTACTTGCATCCAGTTACCATCTAGCATTCTTGCTGTCCACATTCACTGCCTCATTATTGAAATGTTTTTGTAAAAATAACCCTTAATTTTGCTTCATAATGGCTCCAAAGCACAACAGTAGTGATTTTGGCAGTTCTTCAATGCCAACGAGAAGTCATGAAGTGCTGCCCATCAGTGAAAAAGTGCTTATTCTCCACTTGATACAACAAGAAAGAAAATCTTATGCTGATTTCACTAAGATGTACAGCAAAAATGAATCTTCCATTCATGAGGCGGTGAAGAACAAAATAAAAATTTGGTCTAGTTTTGCTGTGGCACCTCAAACTGCAAAAATTATGTCTAGAGTACATGATAAGGTGTTAGTTATGGTGAAGAAAGCATTAAATTTGTGGGCTGAAGATATGAACAAGGTATGTTTGCCTACTGACTGTAATATGTTACAGCAAAAGGGCTTAAGCCTCTATGAAGACTTTAAAAAATAATCCATTGAAGAGAAGGATACCAAGACATTTACAACAAGTAAGGGATGGTTGCATAGGTTCAGGAATAGGCATAATTTGAAAAATATAAAAATTACTGGAGAGGTTGCATTTGGCATTTGATAAGAAAAGAAAGAAAGAACTTCCTCTCATGATGTTTTTCAAAAAAGCAGATACAGGGGGACTACTGTACATGTAGGAAAAATAAAGGATTATTTGTTTAATAAGAGAGATGTAGGAAGGTGAGCACTAAGTTCATGCCAGATAAAGGTAAAACAGTACTGAAGTTACAACTGTATGTTGCTATCTAATTAATATTACATTATGATTGATGAATAATGAGTTTCCTTACCATCCCTTAAGCCATTTACCATCAGAGAGGAATATGCCCCAAATTTGGTGAGAACCAGCCATGGCCACCAGAAGTAAGTTTTCATTGGCATCTTGAGCTTGATCTAAACTTCTTGCAAGACAGACATCCCAGGGTGATGATATGGCCTAAGGAAGAGATTTAATAGAGAATTATACTATAAAATCCAAGATCAAAAGATGCTCAGAACAGCAAACCTTTATTTAGAGAAACATGAGCTATATCAAGTGCTAGAGAGAGACACATTATGAACCTACATACTCCATCACACCAGGTAAGAAGTGATGGATGGTGAAGTAGCAGGAAACACATTATGAACTATTATGCAGTGTATTGTAAAAAATTGTGTACAAAAATGCTCCACATATAATGTCAGTTTCCAGGATTTGTTCTGAAACTGGATGTGTATTAGTCCTGAAGAGTAGCAAGGACAGGACAGGAGCAGTACGAGAACAGCAGCAGCTGGAACAAGTCGTCAAATTTTGGTGTAGGAATGTGGTTGGTATTTTGGTTATTTTATTGTTCTTATGCTCTCACGATTTTCCTTTAAGGCCCTAGTGCGTGTGCAAGGGTCTGAGTATATACTTAGTATTACTAATTAGCAGCAGTGTGCTAGAGAGCTAATGTGAGAAAAGGTGTATTAGTGTGTGATTTTGTATACAGAGTAGGTTGTATGCTATACTATATGTAATTTTACTATTAACCCTTTGACTGTCGCGGCCATATATATACGTCTTACAAGGTACCGTGTTTAACGTATATATACTCATAAATTCTAGCGGCTTCAAATCAAGCAGGAGAAAGCTGGTAGGCCCACATGTGAGAGAATGGGTCTGTGTGGTCAGTGTGCACCATATAAAAAAAATCCTGGAGCACGCAGTGCATAATGAAAAAAAAAAAAACTCCGACCATTTTTTTTAATTAAAATGCCGACTTCGTGGTCTATTTTCGTATAGTATTTATGGTTGTATTCTCATTTTCTTGGTCTCATTTGATAGAATGGAAAACATATTACAGAAGTAGAGATGATTTTGATTGATTTTACTATAAAAAGAACCTGGAAATGGAGCTCAAAGTAGGGAAAATGTTTGATTTTTGCCAATGTTCAAAAGTAAACAAATGATGTCATTGTCCAATAAATGTCCAACTAGCCATTTTAATATGCAGTCATGAATGGGTTGATGTTATTTATACAATTATTACAGTATTGTAGTAGTCTGTATAATAGTAAGTCTTCTATTTTTTGTTTGAATAAAAATTCAAAATAGAAAGCAAGAGTAATATCAGAGGGGCCTGGAGACATGACTGATGAACAAAGAAAATGTTATTTTAGAGCCAGGAATGTCTGCATTGTTCATTCTGGACCTTATTTTGAAATTGTTATATTTTTTAATTTTCGTGAAATTGGCCAAATTGCAAATTTCTGACTACATTATTGGGTAGTTGAAATCGGTAAATGGGCAGTTTCTTGTACTCAATCGATAGACAAAATGGAGTTCTAAAGAAATAGCTATGAGTTTGGTCGACTGGAATAATGGAATTATCCGAAAATAGGGCTCAAAGTGGGCGAAATCGCCGATTTGTAAATATCGCCAAGGTCGCTAACTTCGTGAGAGCATAATTCCGTCAGTTTTTCATCAAATTTCGTTTTTATGGTGTCATTACAATCGGGAAAAGATTCTCTATCATTTCATAAGAAAAAATAATTTTTTTTTTTTTTTGAAATTTTGCGACACGAGGAGACACCTCAGGATTGGGGGTTGCGACAGTCAAAGGGTTAATATATTATATTTTAATACAGTGGAACCTCAACTTACGAGTTAAATCCTTTTCGTGACCTAGCTCGTATCTCAATTTGTTCATATATTGAATAAATTTTCCTCATTTAACCCTTTGACTGTCGCGGCCGTATATATACGTTTGTGAGGTACCGTGTTTGACGTATATATACTCATAAATTCTAGCGGCTTCAAATCAGGCAGGAGAAAGCTAGTAGGCCCACATGTGAGAGAATGGGTCTGTGTGGTCAGTGTGCACCACATAAAAAAAATCCTGGAGCACGCAGTGCATAATGAGAAAAAAAAAACTCCGACCGTTTTTTTTAATTAAAATGCCGACTTTGTGGTCTATTTTCGTATAGTATTTGTGGTTGTATTCTCGTTTTCATGGTCTCATTTGATAGAATGGAAACTATATTATAGAAATGGAGGTGATTTTGATTAATTTTACTATAAAAAGAACCTGGAAATGGAGCACAAAGTCGGAAATTTTTGATTTTTGCCGATTTTTCAAAAGTAAACAAATGATGTCTTTTCCCAAAAAATGTCCAAAACCCCTTTCAATACCATCAGAATGGGTTGAGTATTTTTAAAATTATTACGTATTGCGTAGTTGCAAAACTTTTAATCCTATTTTTTGTTTAAAAAAATTTTTCAAAAATAAAAAGCAAGTAATATACAGGGACCGGGAGACGACTGTGAACAAAGAAAATCTTTTTTAGACCAGGAATGTCTCTTGTTCATTTGGACCTTATTTAAAATTGTGTATTTTTAATTTTCGGAAAGGGCCAAAATTTTGCAAATTTTGACCATGTTATTGGTAGTTGAAATGGGTAAATGGGCAGTTTCTTGTGCCAATCGATAAAAAAAATGGAGTTTGAGAAATATTTAGAGTTTGGTTGACGGGAAATAAGGGAAATTTACCCGAAAATGGGGCTCAAAGTGGGCAAAAATTGCCGTTTTTTTAAATATCGCCGAAGTCGTAACTTCGCGAAGCGTAATTCCGTCATTTTTTCCATAAAATTTTCGTTTTTTTGGGTGTCTTTACAATGGGAAAAAAAGATTCTTATTTTCATAAGAAAAAATTTTTTTTTTTTTCGAATATTTTGCGCACCGGGAGCAACTTCGGGGTTGGGCCCTTCGACAGTCAAAGGGTTTTAAATTTAACTGAAATGCCATGATCCTTTCCCAGCAAATTCCTGCTCTGGTGGCGGGACAAAATACTTCAATATAAGCAATTCAACCCATGGCATTTATCTTCACAATTGACAATATGATATAAAAAAAAATAAAAAATAACACGAAACATGATTATCCGAATGAATAAAATTGTTTTAAATTAAAAGAATGGTGGGGGCCATTCCCACTCCCACTTGACCACATTTTCCCCATGCTCTTTTAAAGAAAAACGGATGTTTTTGTGCGGCTAAACCACACAATCACTGTTTCAAAACAAAAAACACTGAAAATACAGAGAAGGGAAAAACCCCCAGAGAGGCCTTTGATAGGGAAGTCCTCATGGAGGGGGATTCCCTTCCAAACAATAACCCCAACCCCTCTCTCCCCCTCCCTGTCTTCCAGATGCCATCTAAATCTTCAAAAAAGGTAAGTAAAAATGTTATTTTAATTATATACATAATTAAAGACATGCTTTTGTTGTTGTATGTAAAACTGTAAATTAATTCATAAAATTATTTTTGTTTGTGAATTTTTTTGGGGGTTTCGGGAATGGTTTAAAAATTTTTTCCATTATTTTCTTAGGGGGAAATATTGCTTCAATTTCAGACTTTTCGAATTTAAAACAGCTCCGGAAGGTTTAAAGTTTCAAATTTTTGGGGTTTCCCCACGTACTTCACATTGTAAATTGTTTATGGTAATTTTTCCCACTAAATCATCCTGCTTAGTTAATTTAAAGTTTTTTTAAAACCTCCCCAAATGCTCGCAACAAGGGGCTTTTGGATTACCCAAACTACTAATTCCTTGTAAAACCCCATGTATCACGTCCAAATAAAGTACTGTATTGTATATACACCATGCCATGTCCCATTTTAGGCAAATCTCAAGACGCCGAAACAGACCTTCGGGACAGATTTTTTGTCGACAGGGGCCCGGGGGGGCTCCAATGGTCCTATTTACAGTAAAAAAAAAGGGGGAAGTGACCCCGAAAAGGGACTTGGGTACCTTCAATCATTATGGGGGGGGGTTTCCCCCTTCCAAATAATAACCTATTTTCCCCCCCTTCCCCTCCTCCTCCTTTCCCTTCCGTAATGCACTTTAAAAGTGTATTTTAATGCTTTTTTTTGTGCAGTAAATGCATTTTTAACCCCTTGACGTTGCAACCCCAAACCCAGTGTCTAAAATTCCCCCCCCCCCAAAAAAAAAAAAAAAATTATTTTTTATGAAATGTAAGGGGACCTTTTCCTGATTGTAATGAACCAAAAAGAAAAAATCTGGGGGAAAATTGTTGGAATTACGCTCTTGTGAAGAGTGAGGGGAAATTTTTACGAATCGGCAATTTCCCCCATTTTTTACCCCTATTTTCGGAAATTCAATTGTTCCATTGCCAAAATCATGCATTTTCTTTAGAATTTCCATTTTTTTTTCTATCGGTAGTAAAAAACTGCCCTTTACCAATTACTCCAAAATAACGTGGTCTGAAATTTGCAATTTGGCCAATTTCATGAAATTTTTAAAAAAATCTGACAATTTAAAAATAGGGTCCGAATGAACAATGCAACTTTCTTGGCTCTAAAATAACATTTTCTTTGTTCACATCATGCTCCGGGCCCCCCTCTGATATTACTCTTGTTTCTGTTTTGAATTTTTATTCAAACAAAAATAGAAGTTTTACTTTATGCAGACTACGCAATATTGTAAAAATTTTGTATAATAATTCAACCCATTCATGATGCAATTAGAATGGCTACGGGGCATTTATTGAAAATAACTCATTTGTTTACCTTTGAACACGCAAAAATCAAACATTTCCCATTTTTAAGCTCCTTTAAAGGGTTTTTTATATAAAAACCAATCAAAAATCACCTCTTTTTTCTAAATATGTTTTCCATTCATCAAATGAGACCCAAAACGAAAATACAACCTAAATACATATGAAAAAGACCACAAATCAGCATTTAAATTTAAAAAAAAAAAAAAAAGGGGGGAGTTTTTTTTTTTTTCCATTATGCACGCGTGCTGAAAATTTTTTTTATATGGGGCCACTGACCACAGGCCCATTCCTCACATGTGGGCCTACAAGTTTTTCCCCTGCTTATTTGGCAGCAGTTTATGAGTATATAACCCCCCAAAAACGTGGCTCGTTAAGACTATTATATACCAAAACAAAGATT